TATATATATCTTTTTCTCTTATTATTAAAATTTCGGAAAAATTCCGAGTAACTTAATTATATTACAATAATTATTAATTATAAGATTTTACCAGTAAAAAATTGTCCACCCAACGTGATCACGTGCGGTTTACATTACGTATTTTATATTCATGTCATTTATTTTGTTCTTGATATGATGTAAATATATATCCTTCTTTTTTATACTTGTCTAGTATATTAAACTCACGTCACGGTTCCATTATTCTACCTTACCGTTTTACATAATTTGGTACCTATATATATATTTTTTTTACTATTCCTTAGAATTAGTAACCGAATTCTAAGCCACGTTTAACCCTAGGGTAAACGGTTACTGGCGCCCTCAACTTAATTAACTGGTCCAAACGTTACCACACGACCAGCTCCGGCTGTAGTTAGCCTAGGGGTTAATAGTGCTTCTTTACCACCAAGGACCAATCACCATCAGGGAAGGGCACAGGTAGGTTCCCGGCCCTCACCAGGAAAAATGGAAGGTAGCAATACGTCTGTAAATTGCACAAGTACATCATATCGCAGTAAATGATGGGGAGAAGTGAAACTAATTCTGTTGTTTAAGTCATAATTGACTGCTCTGTGGTTAACACCTGTGCTTCACAATGGTAACGTTGAAGTTTTAACAGCCGAAGCTGCACTTTGGGATTACTTCCACCAAAATCTAAAAAAAATATGTCAAGAAATATTCGTTATTCAAAGCTTCCAAGACCGCAAATGCAATATAAACGAACACGGAAAAAGTTTTCCTATTGTATTTTTTATAAAAGGTTGGTGATCAAATTGTTAATACGTTAATAAATTGCAATCTGTAGTACATCGTTTAGTCATTCAATGGTCAAATCTACGTTGGACGTCTACAAAAATGAAGTTATTAGCAAATATTACAAGCTAATTGCTTATACATAAAAGAGAAGCACATTGCATACACAGTCAAAAAATCCTCGGTTCCTTCAAGAATCGAAATTATCAAATTTCTTGTAAACACACACTTTATTGATACGTTTTTTACTTATTCAAAAATTTTTTACTAAATTATTATTTTTTGTTTAAGTGCCTACTGTTTCTGATGTTGCTGGTAAGTGCAGATGTGACGAACTAGTGAAGATGTGCATATAGAATATAGAAGAAAAAAAGTGATATTCTAGTAGTTCTCTGGATCTCCCAGTCACAAAAATTAGATGTTTAATTTAGCCCAATATAGCTGTATCAGCCGATTGTTTGTCAATGTATTTGTCAATGAAAATGTACTGTTGACCTAGGTGTTGACACGTTCGGAAAAGTACTACTACAAATATTGCCATCACTGAAAGAAATGGGCTTATTAAACTGTTTATCTAGAATAATGTGTATAGCGCATATTAAAACTTTTATAACCAATATACAACTTTTATTAAAAAAAAAGCAATCATCTCCATACTCCTTATTCAATGAGTTTAACTGAAAGGTGCTTAATACACCTTATGCATCTATGAAATAAAGGTTATAATGAATTACTTATACATTATTAGGTGTTATAGACTTTATATTCCAGTTGTATAGTAGGGAAGATTTGTTGTATAAAGACCAGTATCCGAATTTGTATATAACAATTGTATTAACAGAATTATTCGTTCTTATACTGAATATGTTTCCGTTTTTAACGTGTAAAACGCATCTTATAATGGTTAAGTGATCGTCACCTCTCGGTGCATAATCGGTTATGATCGTTGTTAAGTTATATTCATAGTCTTGTAATAATAATCATATGTCAGACCCGAGAGCGAAGTGCGCCGACTCAATAAGAAACCTGGCTATTCCAGCCGCTGATTTAGGGTTCGCCGCACGAGCTCATCCCTTCTAAGATTTCAGTAGCATGCTATGCATGAAGCAGAACGGTACTCAACTATCTTATACAGTCCACTTTTATTGTCCATACATGTTCAATCATTGTCAAAATAAACACACAAAACCACAACGTCTTTATTATCTTTACTCAAGAAGAGAAAATACAACAATCGTAAAATTTCCGACAGTCCGCTGTGCATCGACTTACACACGTCTAGTTTGATGAAAATGGACAGTATATGCACATGTTTTGTGGGATACATGATCATATCGCGTTGTGTGAAATGGAAAATTATTATGTAAGTATCTAACTGTTTTATGGCTTGTAATTGTTTTGTTTTTTCAAATGTAAATCTTGTCTAAATCTTAAAAATTATTATTTTGTAGGTCCTATTAGAAATCGCTGATGTTAAGTTTTACATAAGATGGAGGAACAGAAGGTTAACGGTGACAAAGAAGAGCATGGGTATAAAGTCAATCAACCAGAGGAAATAAAATTATATGGAAAGAAGCTCAACCTTTCTGGGGATGCTTCATTCTTAAGGTGGAAGAGTTATAGTGCAAATTCTCATGTAATACAAGAAAATACGGGTGCATCGTTGCTAAGAAAATAAACTGGACAGTTTTGGGAGCGATTTGTCATCATTTTTAATGCTTAAAAGTATGTTTTATGTATGTTTACATTAGAACCTTAGCTTGTAATTACAGTTATCCAATAAAATTTCTGAAAACTTAATGTCATATGTTTTTAACTCATACAGAGTATACAACAGTTTAATACATTTATTATTATAAAACTTATAACCAGTACTAGATGTTCTAATAACGATATGGAACACTTTAATAACAGTTATTGCTATTATTTCGTAAAGGGTATAAAAAACGTTGTATACTAGTTATACAATAATTTAATAAAGAATAAGGTTTATAGTCACTATACAACTGTGCTAGCAATACGCGTTTTATATCCAATATTCACCCGTTTAACTGTCACATATAGTATACAATGGTCTTATAATGGCATATAGAATTCTTTCAGTGCAGATAACTGAAACTAAAAAATCCAGAAATTTAACATAACAAAATATTTTCCTCCTACTATTGTTATAGCCTTGTCCGTGGAAGGGGACTCACTTATTGGTTCTACCAAAAACCTAATTTCTTAGAGAACTGATTTGGTGACAATTTTTATATAATAGATTTAAATACTGACTTAAATATGCTAGTCTAAAGTCTAGTCTAAAATATCATAACAGTTAAGGTTTAATTTTGTAATTATGTCTTATCTTACATACCTATTCAAGATATAGATACTTTTTTGTAAATACTAATATCTATCCTTATATAACAATGTTTTATGTGCAGAAAAAAATGAATTTAAGAAAATAATACTAAACAAAATTATAAATACACTTACTGTGAAGATCTTCTAAAAAACCATCTAAAACAATATCCTTGTAGTTGGGAATTGGGTTCTTGAGTGGATAGGCACTCACCATGGTAACCTCATGACCCCTTTCAGCCAATTTCTTCAGTATCACCTCACCCATTATCTGATGGCTTTTGCCAGGGTGGCTGTAGATTCCTAGTACTTTCTTGGATTCTGTGCATGCTGCCACTGCGAGAATAGTAATTATAATTACGGAACGCATGTTTGGTGTGTCAGTGCAACAAGTCAATAACTCTGTTTTTTTATATAGGTACATCCTACGTTATCTCTTATCACTTTTAGCTGTTATCAATACGTTTACTATGCAATCTTCAAGATGTATTAAATTATATTTATCACTCATAGTACTTCCAGATTGTCTACCAAATTAATAAACGAGTACGAAATATGATACTTCAATTAAAGTATGCATGGAAAAGATTAAATTTCAGAACTGTAGTACCTCGTGACTTTTTTTGATATTTAAATGAAAATCGGTGTAGATCGTTAACTAATCATTGCAATACATTAGTTCAGGGATGCACATACCGCGGCCCGCTGTCGATGTTTATGCGGCCCGCCAACGAATTTTAAGTATTCTACTCGCCGCGCTCCGGTCCAAGCATATTATTACGAGACTAGAAATCTGTTGCATCAACTAGATTACAGATTCGCGAAACACGTCGATCCCCGAACAAAGTGGATGGTTCTCGATGTTTGGTAACTCGTATAAATACGACGCATCGCCGGCTACCGGGGCAGTTAAGTTTTGACTACGGATAAGCGAACGTTATACTGTTTGAGAACTGTAATCTGTGACGAGTAAATATTTCGTCGTTCGAACTTGGCTTTTACCGACTGTAACATATAATATTAATTTTGATATGGATAAACCAGGCCCCAGTAAGAAACGTAGTCGTAAGGTTGAAGATGAAAATCGACAGTTTCATGATATTTGGACCGAAAAATACTTTTTTATTTCATCGCATAACAAAATTGTCTGTTTAATATGCAAGAGTAGTGTTTCTATTCCGAAGGAATATAATGTGAAAAGGCACTATGAAACCCAGCATCCAACTTTTACCAAATTAACTGGCGAAAATCGAACGCAAAGAATTTCCACTTTACAACGGGAACTAATAGGCCAGCAATCTATGTTTACAAAACCAATTCAAGATGCTGAAACAGCCACTGAAGTTAGCTTTGAAATATCTCGAATAATAGCGAAAACTTGTCGGCCTTTTAAAGATGGTGAGTTTGTTAAGCAATGTTTGGATATCGCCGCAAAAAAAATTTGTCCGGAAAATGTAAAGAAGTTTGAAAAAATTCAGTTAAATCGGATGACTGTTCAAAGAAGAATTACCGCATTAGCAGATAATATAGAAGAGCAATTAGCTACGAAATCGAGAAGTTTTGAGTATTTTTCTATAGCGCTCGACGAATCTACAGATATAAGTTCAACTGCTCAACTATTAATATTTTTACGAGGTGTAACGCAAAATTTTGAAGTGAGTGAAGAACTGATTGGTATGAGTTCTTTGACAAGTCAAACCAGGGGAAGTGACATGCTCAAAGCTCTTCTAGAAAAATGTTCTATAATGGATTTGGATTTAACGAAAATATCTGGAATTACAACTGACGGAGCACCTTCAATGGTTGGAAGTACATCTGGGATAGTAACTCTGTTAAAAACATATTTACAAACTAAAAACATAAATACCAAGGAATTAATGCAGTTTCATTGTATTATACATCAAGAGGCCCTCTGTTCAAAATTATTGGGATTTGAAAATGTTATGAAAGTTGTAGTACCTACCGTAAACTTTATAAAATCACGAGGTCTCAATCACCGACAATTCAAACAATTTCTCGAGGATATTGAAAGCGAATATGGTGATCTCCTGTTTTACACTGAAGTAAGGTGGCTAAGTCGTGGGTTGACACTACAGCGATTTCTTAACTTGATTGAAGAAATCCAACTATTTCTGGCGGAAAAGAAAAACGACGTCCCCGAACTCGACAACCCTGATTGGCTGTGTGACTTAGCGTTTCTTGTAGACATCACAAATCACTTGAATGTCTTAAATACGCGACTCCAAGGCAAAGATCAATTGATTTCGCAGCTATACTCTCATGTTTCGTCCTTTCAATGCAAATTGAGTCTTTTCAGGACACAAATCAATTCAGCCAATTACGGCCATTTTCCGAACTACAAAAAAATTATGGAGAAGTTCAATAAAACTGACGTCAATTTCGCTCATGTTGAAAAAATTGATATTTTGATACAAGCTTTTGAAAATCGTTTTGTAGACTTCAAAAAAGTTAAACCGCTATTGGACATTTTCAGCAATCCTTTCAACATTTCACCCGAAAATGCGCCGGAATTAATGCAGCTGGAATTAATAGACATGCAAAATGATGATAATTTAAGAAACAAATTTAATGAAGGTAATTTACTCAACTTCTACCGTTGCGTTGATAAAAACGCTTATAAAGAGTTGCGAATAAATGCATTGAAATGCGCAAGCTTATTTGGATCGACGTATATTTGTGAACAAACGTTTTCAGTGATGAAACTTAACAAAACGAAAAACCGAAACCGTCTGGCAAATGAAAATTTGGAAGCAATTATACGTGTGGCTACAAGTAATGTGGAGCCAAATATAAAAAAACTTGTTAGTTCAATGCAATGTCATGCATCAAAATAATAAAACATGAAATATTACATTGTAATGATTACATAATTATTACAACAAACATTTTTGAAGGTTATTTTATTTTTATCATTGTATTTCATACTATTTAAAAATAAAAAATTTTGTGTTAATAAATATTGTTTGTAGTGGCCCGTCCTTGGCTTATATTTTTCCCGAGTGGCCCCTGTTCCCTATAAGTCTGTGCATCCCTGCATTAGTTACTTACAACATTAAAGAATCAATAAAATTTTATAACTTGAGAGGTTATTTCTTTATCCGTCGTTTACTCCAGTCGAATTATATAAAAAAAACCTGAAAAATTGAAAAAAATTGTTAGTAGACATTTAATTGCACTTTATGACGGAGAAAGAAGTGACGCTAAGTTGACAAATTGCAAATAAGTGGCAAATTTATGTATTTTTTGACTTTTTTTTACTGCTCACGAAAATCTAGATGACTTATTGGAATACTAGTTATTTTTTGTTGCAGTCAATTAAATAACCTACAATTTTAGGTGCCTATAGTCATTTTTCATCAATTTGTTAACTGTAAAATAAAGGTCGGGTCGGACGTTTAAATATCACTTCACGAAAATTGCGCATTATTATTGCAAAAAGCAATGGATGTTGATGAAATTTATGAAAAAGGCGGTGAATCTAGTGACCAACATGTGTCCGAAACGCTGATTCAATTGACCGTGAAATTGCTGCTTCAGCTATTAATTATTTATAATTTTTGTTTGTTTTGCAACTAATTGCTTAATCACTAAACGTTAATTTTAGAAGTTAATATTGAAGATATACGTTCTAATTGATCCAAACAAAAGTATCGAAAAAGAAACATTTCAAAAAGTTGAAATTAAGGGCAGGGTCAGGCAAAAACCGGTCGGGAATTCGCTCTTTTTGCATTAAATAGATTTAATTTTTACGGTAATTTGAGAAAAAAAGAGAAATCACCTACTCCTCTTCGTTCCCAAGATAACTTTCTTCTGTATAATATTAATTGTTAATTAACAATTGGACGGATCGGACCGGGATTTTAGAGGAAATTAAAGAATGGGTTAAACTTTTATTTCTAAAAAGTTTTACATTTATGTAATAAATGTTAGCAGCAGTAAAAGTTAACGTTAATGAACGGCCTGCACGGGCCGACATCCACGCACATGCTCGGGCCCGGCGCTCCTTCTCCCGCGTGCAGGCCTTTCTTTAACGTTAACTTTTACTGCTGCTAGCGCGGCTATTACATGAACTGTCGGTGTAAAACTTTCTGAAAATAAAAGTTTAACCCTTTAATCCTTGCTTGACCCTGGCACAATTTGTTTATATGCTGTTTTGCATGTCCTATTTTGTTAGTTGTAAAGGGCTACTTAATTTCAACTTTTAGAAATTTTTCTTTTTCGATACGTTTCTTTGGATCAATTAGAACAATATTAACTTCTAAAATTAACGTTTAGTAATTAAACAATTAGTTGCAAAAAAACGAAACGAACGAAATTAATTAATGAATACCTGGAGCAACAATTTCAGGGTTAATCGAATAGGCCTTTGTTACACATGATGGTCTTTGGATTGACCGTCTTTTCCATAAATTTCATCAACATCCATCGCTTTTTGCAATAATAATGTGCAATTTTGGAAAACTGATTTTTCCGCGTTCGGTCTTTACTTTGCAGTTATAGACGAGCGCAATTGCAACGCTAAGTCGCTTAGTTATCGAAATAAAAAAAACTGGCGTAGAACCAGGTCAGACATGGTAGGTTTTATTAAGCATGTGAGTGGGCATATGAAATGGTATTTTACGACATTTTTTGTTGGTCGGGATCTTTTTAATTTCGAAAAATTAAAAAAAAATCTATTTTTATGAGAACATGTTTTTTAAAGTCTCCACCGTTATATCTCAAAAAATAATTGTACTATCAGAGTAATTTTTTTTTTAAATTAAAGCAGACATAATAGCGCTTTTAACAGTACTAATGGATTTTATAAAAATCGCTTTTTCATTTCGCTAAAAATCAGGAAAACTTGATATTTAAATTTTGTGTAATACAATTTTCACCAATCGATAAACTTTTTTATTTATGATTTTTTTTATATACATGCAGCGAAGAAAATGAAGCCCAAACACTACATAAATTTTTGAAATAATTAGTTTTTTCCTAAAGCTTATAGTTTGGCAACAAGCGATTATTTCATAGCGCGCTAAACTGATGCATGGGGCGTCCAACGTAATGTGTAATCTACATAGTGTACGGCTTGCGGGATTTGGAGTATATAGGTTCGTGCGTAATAAGCAGTGTGTAATAATCATCAGAACATATTAAGTTTTAAGACAATGAAGTGCATTATTTGTAAGAAAACTGTGCGGGATGATGAC